GGAAGTTCTTTAACATACTTACGAATACACATCATTATCCACAATGATCCCTTCAGTCAGATGAGGCCATGTAGTTGCTAAATGGAGTTCACTAAAATAAAACATAGAATACATCCAAAAGGCTTTACTAATATTGTACACATGTCCTTTGACACTGCAGTTTTTCTAGAAATGTATCCTAAGGAAATAACCAAAGAGGTCTATACAATTGTGTTATAAAGTGGTGTTAAATATAGTACAATAAACTGTGAGCAACTGGTTTAGCCAACAACCACACATTGATATGAAGTTAATTTTTGCATACATTAAAACCTCTACTAAGGGGCTGGGGATTTAGCTCAGCGGCAAAGCGCCTGCCTGGCAAGCACAAGGTCGTGAGTTCGGTTCCCGGTACCAGAGAAAAACCAAAAAAAAACCTCTACTAATAACCAAAAGAGTAAATAATTTAAATGTCTATCAGCTAATGAACGGATGAACAAAATGTGGCGTATAATATATTCATACAGTGGCATATTTATACCTATTAATAAAGTATTGATTCATGCTACAGTACAAATCTCAAAAACATGGTAAGTAAAAGCAGCCAGATACAAAAGGCTACATATTTGACTCCATCATGAAATGTCCAGCCCAGGCAAATCCACAGACAAGAAATGGACTAGTGTTTGCCTGGAACTGGAGGGTTTTGGATGAGTTGGCAAGAGTGATGGGCTAAGAGTAAAAACCTTTCTTTCTGAGATAAAGAAAATGTCTCATGATTATAGTGATGATAGCTGGACAACTCTGTAAATACTTAAAAAACCACTAAACTGTACACTTTAAAATGGTAAATTGTGGGGTAGGTAAATTATATTTCAATTTTGAAAAATATGTTATAGCTCAAGAGTCGTCAAACTTTTTCTACAATAGGCCAGAGAGAACATTTTAGTCTTTGTGAACCATGTATAGTTTCTGCTATATTCTTGTTTTGTTTTTCTTTTATACCCCTTAAGAATATAAAAACCATTCTGAGTTTACTAGCTCTACAAAATCGAACTACCAGTCATATTTGGCCCACATGTTTAATGTTTCTTTTGAAGAACAGTTCAAGTAAAATTATAAATTTAAGAAAGCAGATGTAATTCCTTATTTTCAGTACTACATTCATTCCAGCAGGCTATTGTATCATAAAGTATGGTAAAATCAAGGTCAATATAAATTTAAAAAGTAAAACAAACAATCCTCTGATTCAAATGATAGGTTCAATTTCTTACCTAATAGGATCTTCACAAGCACCAAATGGTAACTTGCCAAACTCCAGTCCTCCAACTTCTCCTCCTACCAGAGCATCTAAATCTAAACAAATGCAATATTTTCCCATTATTTGGCAAAAAGAGGCATACAGAAATCTAATCTAGCTAGGCTGCAATCTTTAGAAGATTAGAGCTTTAAAAGTACCTATAACAGAGTACACATAATAAATTAGCAAGTTACAGCATGTTATAGTGATATATTAGAGATTTCTCCTGAGAACAAGAATGTAAGTAAAAAGATAATCTTATTTCCTATTACCCAGTGTTTCATTTAAGCCATGCCTTCTAAACTCAGCCTTTCGAAATAGTCCTTAACTGTTACTGTAGAGAATATTCTTACAATTTTGATTAATACAACCTAAGTATTAAAAAATTTAATCACCAGCCTATAGTCATTAGTTTTTGCTGTCAATTTCTGAACGACAAATAAGCAGATTTGCTATTACTAAAATATTTTAGTTGGAAGTATACAGAAATATTTATAGTTCAAGAAAGAACCACCTCTCCAATATAAATACAATAGTCTCTAGAACTGGAGGAGAATGTGCCTTCTGCCCTAAGGAACTAATAAACACTTCTTAAAAGGATTGTTTTGAAATAATAGAGATGGCAGTATTTAATTATTCACATTATACTAGAAATTCCTAAAACTGTATTGCTGAGTTATGAACATTCCTCATATTTGCTTCAACCACATCTGGTAACTATCTATACCCTACCTAAATTACTAAAATTAGTCATGAAATATGGTCTTATTACTTACTAGTACATTTTTTCAAGTCAATCAATTCGACTTTTCCAACCAGTTTATTATAATAAAAGTCACAATGACTACCTTTATTAGAAGGTGTGAATTTTGAAGAACTTAAAATTTAAAAGAAGCATTTTCTTTTTTTAAAAAAATAAGCACTTTCATAAATTGGTCAGTTAAATATTATTACTAGAATATAATACAAAATTTTTACTGGGTTAAAAGCTGTGAACCAACACTGTGGAATGAAAAGCACAAGGGAATTAAGAGTCTGACTAGCATGTGTATGCGAACATTACCGCTTAGTCAGTATCTGACATTAGGCTAGTTAACTAATGTAACTCCTATCTCATAGTAAAATAAGAATAACAAAATAGGAATATAAAATGCCAAGTAGTTTCTAACCACCTTGCATGTCAGTCCTTCCCCTCTGTAAGAGAAAATGTTATGAATTTATATGGTCTTTACTGAAAGAGGTTTCTATTTTTAATCCTCATTTTTAAAAACAGGCCATAGGACATTAAGAAAGACTTTATTGGCAATGAGAATTAAAATGCTAAGATCTAGCTCTTGAGCTTCTTAGATCATAAACAAACCACAACCACCTTGGGCAGTCTTTTTTTCTTTTTTTGGTGAGGGGTGCTAGGGATTGAATCCATGGCCTTGCACTGAGATGCCCCCGAACTTCCTACCTTAGTATTGTTGTCTGGGAAGTAAAAGTAATGACACAAATATGTGAGTCTTTTGGCTACTATCATTCTAAACCTCAGCTTTTATTCCTTTGCTCATTTAGAGAAGTGCTATGCATTACAGTTTTCAAATTGTTCAGCAGTACATAAAACATACAACTGCCAAAGATTAAAGTATCCTACATTAATCTTAGTATCATCTCTAATCTACCAATTACTATCTTTAATCCTATAAATAACTATCTATTTGGAACAGAAATAACAGTGAAAAATATTACTTTATTTCTGTGTGGGGGAAAAGACTGAAAAATCTTTTCAAGCTAATAAAATCCTCATAATTATTTGTAAATTTATATTAAATTTCCTATTAAATACATTTGAATATAATTACACTCACAGATGAAAGAAATACCTCAGAATCAAAACCTCAATTAGTATATATATCCATTAGGCTAAGCCTTTCTAGAACCTTAGTAATGTCTTGTTTATAGCTGTGTTTTTTTCACAGCTGGGCCTACTATACGCTAATAACGAATGACTACTGAATGAATTACTTTATCAATAGCTAAGCAGAGAAACTAATTTTGATTACTTTTTTTTTTTTTTTGTACTGGGAATCGAACTCAGGACCTTGCACTTCCTAGGCAGGCGCTTGTGCCACTGAGCTATATCCCCAGTCCTTGATTACTTTTTTTTTTTTTGTCTTTTTGAGACACAGTTGCACTATGCTGTTCAGGCTGGCCTTGAATTCACTTTGTAAGGCTGGGGATATAGCTCAGTGGCACAAGCGCCTGCCTGGCAAGTGCAAGGTCCTGAGTTCGATTGCCAGTACCAAAAAAAAAAAAAAAAAGAAATAGATGGAATTCACTTTGTAGTCTAGGCAGGCCTTGAACTCACAGCAATCCTCCTGCCTCAACCTCCCCCCAATGCTGGGATTACAGGCATGTGCCACCATACCTGGCTTGATTATGTTTTTATAAAATGTAAGTTAAAGTAAAATATTTCATAGTTTTTCCTATGTGTGTCTATGCATAAGTAATTTTCTTCTCTATTTTCTTTGTTTAGCTCTCTCCAAACTCTACTCGCTAAGGTTTTCTGCATGTCTATTCTTAGCTTATAAGGGTGGCTTCTTTTATTATACTGCTAAAAAAAAACCCTCTAAAACCAGACATTTTAATCATTCATGCCACAGTAATTTACAGCACATGTTTCACAGTAAGGGATGCTTTATAAAATAATAATTAGCTTTCAAAGACAGGTTGTCAAATACAGAGTAATACTGTCTTTAGAAAACACACAGAGCTTTTAAGAGAAAAAATTACAAGGCAAATATTATACTTAAAATGAATTACAAATATTTCATAATAAAACACTTGAAACACTGTTAAGTAATTTTAATTTCTGAATATATATGCTTTTTCCACTTATATTCGATAAGTTAAATACAGTTTTAACTGGTCTCACCTGGAGGCTGCTGAGGCCAAAAGTACTGCTGCCAATCCTGAAGCACATAGGTGAATCGAATAGCAATACTAACTGGAGGCAATGGAGTTAAAGGGCATCCCTAGGAAATATATTCAAAGACAGTACCATGTAAATGCCGGTTCCTTATTTTAATAAATTTAACATCAAAACTTCACACTTACAGAATGGGTAAAATACGCTTATGATAGATTTTTCAGTTTATACTGTCAAGACAGTAGTGTGCATAATCCAGTAATTAATAAGGAAAAAAAGTCACTGAAGTTATTAGGGCCAAACAGTGCAAAACTTAGAAAATCAAGCAGGAAGACTCTGTAGTAAGGAACAGTACTGATAATATTAGATCTACTTTTAAAAAATGGGTAGGTAAACTCTCCATAGAATCACTCTATCATTTGTCCATGTATTTGTACAAAAGGATTCTACAGTTTTCACATACTACTTGCACAGATGTTTTGTTTTGATGAAAAGGATGTACAGCTTGAAAAAAAAAAAAGCTTTAAGCAGTGCACAGTGTTGTGCACCTATCGTCCTAGCTACTCGGGAGGCTAAGACAGTAGAATGCCTTGAGTTTAGGTGCTGAAGGCCAGCCTGGGCAGCATGGTAAGACCCTGTTACAAAAACAAAAACAAGCAAGCAGAAGAACACTTTAAAAAACAATGCTACGGAGTCAATTACTTTAAAATTGCTTACCCTAAGGAAAAAAAATATTAAATTCTGTTAAGAAAAATGATCTTTCAAAATCTTTTGTAATTCTGTTATAAAATACGATTTTTTACTACTGATTTCTGAAAATGAATGTGGGTGAAAAAGTAATAAACTTTCTAAAAGTACAAAACTAGGTTTGGGGAGATCATATCTATAAGTTAAATGAAAATAAAATTAAAGCCAGTACTGAATATTTCACTAGAGTTTTAGGATAAGACAAATAAATGGTCACTCATACAAAATGCAGTATATTAAGCATCAGTTAACCAAAGATGAGATTAATCTTTAAATTCACTAAATGTCACGAAAATTAATGCTATTATCTAATATCATCCTATAGCCTACATTAAGTAGGACAGGACTGAAACAGGTGTAGGAACCACCAAGGCAGCTTAGGCAAATACACATTCAATGCTCTTTTCCATCTCAAATCAGTTTCTAGGTGTTGCTAATGCTGCTGGTCTGGAGACTACACTCTGAATAACAGTGGAATGAACAAGTGATATTTAGCTGAGCAAAAGGATATACAGATGTCAGTGATAGGTCTAACTGAAAATACAAACTCATTCTGAAGTCATAATATCAGGTGACTAATCTCTAAATAAATTTTCAGGCAGGTCTAGATATCAAATGAGTGTTCAGTCATAGTAAGGTACAAATGGTCTACAAGCCACAATAAGGTCACTTTGGTAAAGAACCTTTGCCCTAATTACAAAGCAATGTAGATAAATATAGAGACAACTGAAAAGAAATAGCTATGATCAAACATGACATATATATCTTTGTATATCCTAGAAAAGGCTCAGAAAATCCAGGGAATAAGTGGAGCTCAAGGAAAATGCCTGCTGAGCTTTGGTTATGAAAGAAGGCAGTGACATCATGGGATTACAGACTGTATTAAATGGACACTACATGTCTCTTTGTCTAAGTAAGACACTGGGGCACGGCCTTTTCTTGTTACAAAGGAAGCACGGGCCTGAGGGAAATAACTGTGTGGGGGAGAAAGAAAATACATCATAAGCAAACAACCCAACGTTCTAATGCTAGATATGCAATACATTGATATCATCATAGAACAAGAGGTTCCAAATGCCATTTTAAAGCCAAGTTCAGAAATATTTTTTAAGTAGAGAGAAACCACAAGATTGTAAAACCACTAGGAAGGGTGGTTTCTTTTCCTGAAGTGTGTACACATTTTTTTGATGGACTCTGTATTTTTCCATTCTTTTTTCTTTCTGACAGTGCTGGGAATGGTACCGAGGGACTCAGGCACACTAGGCAAGCACTTACCCACTGAACCCATTCCCAGCCCCATTACTTTGATTAAGCTCTAATCCTAAATGTCTTTCTAACAAAACCTATTAAAAAATTTCAAGGTTTCTTTCTCCTCAACTTTTTCTTTTTAAAATTCTATTTGGGAGGTTGAAGTAGGAGGACTGCAAGTCCAGTCCTACCTGGGCAGCTTAACAAGAATTTACCTCAAAAAAAAAAAAAAAAAAAAAAAAAGAAGAGCTGGGACACAGCTCAGCACAAATACTCTGGGTTCAATCCTCAATACTGTACCACCAAAAAAACAAAAACAAAAACAAACAACAAAACCCCCTAAAATCTTCAGGAAGGTAGGAAAACTATGATGAATACCTATATAATTTTCAGCAAGTACATCAAATAGTAACACTTTGCCACAGATATACACATACAACAGCGTATGTGTATTTATTTTTGACTGAACCTCTACGAAGTAGTAGACATCACAACAGTTCACTTCTAAATACTTTAGCATGTAATTCCTAAGAACAAGGACATTCTCTTGCATAGTTATTACACTCAAAAGTTTAGCATTGATAGTACATCCTAATATACACTCCAAATTAAAACTGTCATAGGGCCAGGGCTATAGCTCAGCGGCACAAGCACCTGCCTGGCAAGTGTAAGGTGCTGAGTTTGATTCCTAGTACCAAAAAAACAAAAAAAAACTGTCATAATTGCTGGGCATGGTAGTGCATGCCTGTAATCCTAGCACTTGGGAGGCCGAGGCAGAAAGGTCACCACGAGTTGAAGGCCTGCCTGGGCTACATACTGAGTTCAAGGCCAGCCTGGACTACATTTTGAGATCCTGTCTTAAAAAAAAAGTTGTCATGATTATTCCAAATCAGATCTATAGTGGCTATTTTGTCTGGATCAAGTATCCAATCAAGAATCAAGCACTGCATTTAGATGTCATATTTCACAGATCTCCTTTAATATAAATAGCTCCCAGCCTTTGCTTTGGCTATCATGATACTGATATTTTGAAGAGTACAGACCAGTTGCTTTGTAAATTAGAGTTCACTTTGGAAATGTGCTTTTTTCTCTGATGTTTTAATTTATGTTAAACATTTTGGTAGAAATGCCACATAGGTGAAATATAGCCTATACAGTGTGCTACATCAGGAGACATACAATGTCAGTTGGGGTTTTAATTAATTTTTTTTTTTTTTTAAGACAAGGTCTCACTACACAGTCCAGGCTGGTCTTGAACTCACTTTGTAGCCCAGGCTGGCCTCGAACTTGCAGCGATGCTCCTGGCTCAGCCTCCCTAGTACTGGAATTACAGGCATGCGCCACCACATCCAGTGTGTTTTAATTTAGTTTAACTGGTACAGAAAACATTAAATCTGATATCAGTTAATCAAGTTTGATCACTTATATAAGGTGGTATCAACTTTTGCACCCAGCACCCTAATTTTTCCCCAAGAGCAGCATAGGTCTTCCATATCTCTGTGACAAATTTTTTAATAGAACACCAGAGACATATTCAGCATATCCCATTTCGCCTTCAGCTCTCAGTCACAGATATGAAAGATTAAACCTCAAAATCAAATCAAACAAAAATTTTAAAAAAAGAGGGCAATTTAGAACCCAAAGAGTTCAGATCCCAGGACGTCAGTCAATGCCCCAAATGAGCAGCCACCCAAAGCACTCTAGGCTGGAAGACTGGCAATATTACTGTTAGAGGATAAGTGTAGAACATGGTCAATTAATATTACAGACTGAAAAAACGAAACAGATCAGTTTCTAATTGGATATTTTTTTCTTTAAACATACATAGTACTTTAGTCAATTATACATTATTCATATTATAGAGAAATGTTTCCATCCGGTCAAATTATCAAATGGTTACTTTTATCTGGATCTCAAATAAGATTGACAATATCAATGCCAACTCACAATCTTTGATTTGAAGATATCCAGTAGACCTGATAAGTGAGTGTATTGATTTGGCACTTTTCGAAGATGAACCATTTCAAAATCAGTTCGGACACCAGGACCTTGACATTCTCCTACATACATTCTTCGCCATTTGTGATGTATTTGCACAAAAAGTGGGACCTGACTGCAGGACATGATTAAATACGAAAAGAAAGCAAGTTTATTAAACACTTAATAACTCCTTAAACTCAAAATTTTCCTGTGATATTTTATTTTTTTTCACTTTTATTTTTTATTTGTCTTTTTGAGACAGGATCTCACTATGCAGTTCAGGCTGGCCTTGAGCTCACTTTGCAGCCCAGGCTGGTCTCAAACTCTCAACGACCCTCCTCTCTCAGCCTCCTGAGTGCTGGGATTAAAGGCATGCGCCACCACGCCCGGCTTCCTGTGATATTTTAATCTCAATTATCTGAAAGCAATAAATAAGGAATACTCCCCAAACACAGAACCTCATGCACAAAAAAGATACTCAGTTCCTTTAGCACTTTAGTTAGAAAATTGTTGAGAATGGATTAAAGTCATAAAACAGCAGATTAAAATTTTCTTGAGTAACATTACATATATATTAGTCTTTCCAAATTCATATAAACCTGATTGATAAGTATTAATACAAATTAAACCAATTCTGTAGTGAAATATTTCTCATTATAATATTTATACAGCTGATGTTCATGATTCATAGATTTCAGTATTTGAAAATAGCCTACTCACAAAAATTTATTTGTAACTCCCACACCACCAACGTTCACAGCACATGCAGTTATCTGCAGAAATGTTCAGGGCAGCAAAATTCTGAGTAGCTCACATGCATATTCCTGGCAGAATTCAAGTAAAGTAAAGCTCTGCCTTTTTGTGTCAACTCTTAGACTATAGATAAGTTTATCTTTCTCACAATCCTCTTGGAGCTACAATTTTTGGATTTTTGTACTTGTTGATTTCACTCTGTAAAATGGCCTCCAGCAAGGGTTCAGAAGGTAATATTTTTGAGTGCAAGAAAACTATGATACGTCTCACAGATAAAACTAAGATATGTCTCAAGATAAAATATACATGTTTGATAAACTGCATTTAGGCATGAGTTATAGTGCTATTGCCTAAGTTCAATTCTAATGAATCAATAATATTTTTAAACAGAAACACACACAAAACAAGGCAATATATAAATTGCCGACAAAAATGTGACCAGGACTGCGATGTTGCTCAGGGGTAGAGCATTTGCCTAGTACACTCGAGGCCCTGGGTTCAATCCTCACAACACACATACACACACAGTTGTGACCAGGGGTTTGCACAAACTTAACCCTGTACTTCTCCTAGAAGCAATGGTTCAGGATTTAATAGTGTTGGTAGTGACTCTATGGAACATAACTACCTCAAATAATAAGAAAGGAGTATAAAATATATCCCCAACTTAATATTGCTACATTTGTAAATCTTCTAGCCATTTCTCTTTTCTTTGTTTCGTCTTTTTGAGACAGGGATTCACTATGCATTTCAGGCTAGCCTTGAACTCACTTTGTAGTCCAAACTAGCATTGAACTCATGGCAATTCTCCTGCCTTAGCAACCCAAGTGCTAGGATTATAGGTGTGCACCAATACGCCCAGCAACCATTCCTTTTATTAAAAAAAAAACTCAAATTATTTACTTGGGGTACATGACAAAATATAGGATAGAGTACAAAGAATAGGATATACTACAAAGTATACCCACACTAATATACTTACCTTTCCCTAGTAACTTTGCATGTAGACTCTCTCAGTCTATTTGACATATAAATAAAACATAACTCAAAGTAGCAGAATACTGATTTAGAAAATTTCATGCTCTTCAATATTCCCATTTAAGAATAGGGCCTAAAAATACTTATAATTGAGTTTTTGGCAAGTTATTCCAAATAATGTCTAAAATTCCTCAAGTTGAAATGACTTCTGGGTGGGCCTAACAGAGCACAGTTGTAATCCCAGTTACTTGGGAGAATGAGGTAGGACTGAACGTTTGAGGCCAGCCTGGACAAGTTATTCAGACCTCAAAATAAAAAATAAGAAGTGTTGGAGATATAGTTCTATGTTATAGTGACCTTCAGTTCAATCTTCAGTACTGCAAAAAAGAAAAAGAAAAGAAAGAGCAAAGAAGTGTTGTCCAAAAAGGCTTCACTAATTTTGTCCTCACATACCAAATTTCAGGATATGCAAGTATATGTACTAAGTTCCTAATAACTTTTTATCTTCATTAATTATCACTAACAATAGTTCTTAGTTTACTGTCCAGGTTCCTCAGAACATCTACTTACCAACCAGTGTTTCCCAAAGCAATGGAAACAGAACTGAGCAGAAGATTGCACTTAGACTCACTGAGAACCGCATCACTGTGTGCAGCAGGGGCGATCACCACAAACTCACGCAGGCCATACCTTACAGGAAGAAGTATTGCATTAAACAGAGGAAAAAAACATAAAGGTGTATTATCTGAAAAACATAAAAACTGTCCTTGCAGGAAATATAACTCAGATTTATATGTAACAGGTATTTTTTGCCCAGTGATAAATGAAATAACCACCTGAATTTTCCTTAATACATTCATGATGGGGCCACAATTCATACCTCTTTCTCCTGGGCAGACTGAACCACTGGTGCTACATGCATGACTGTCCCACTGGTGGTTTTTTATTGATTTTCTTAGTGAAAAGATCCATCAAAGTGATTAGATCCGTTTGTACCACCAGTGGTACGAGCCACCCTCTGTGATAATTATGCATGTACCACCAGCGGTTCAAGCCGGTGAAAATGTGTTTGAGAAGCACTTTCTTCACCGATCTACTAGCTCTCCTTTATTCTTTTACCTTTACAAATTAGAAGCAGTTTGCTGAAATCAGAAAGGAAACACCATTAAATAACATTTTTGTCTTAAAAGCTTACAACATAAAAACAAAAAGCAAGCACTAATACCTTGCTTTAAACAACTGACAGCACTGTGTCCATCAATGTGGAAAGTAAAATTTAACATTACCTAAGTGGCAGGGAAAAAATACATGGAAAACAATTATTACCCATGGGACACATAAAAACATGGTTACAGAGTATCCCAATTAAAGAACTCTTCTACTCTTTTACTCAATAACACCTTCAGACAAGAGTCAACCAGAAGATGTCTTATTCTTGCTATGGTATCTACACTGATTTGTTGTTTAGTTCCCAAGTCATTTAAAGTAATAAATTTGTGGCCAAACTTTAAAAAAAAAGAAATGTAAGGTCAACTTGGTGATTTCTCTTGCCTACTGAAAATTCATCTAGCCGTGCCTCAATGCATTTTTATTTATTTTGTTTTTAAATAATGAAAATAGGGTTAAAAATAAAACATGGCAGAGAAAAGACCTGGAGCAAACCACAGCCTCTGACCTAGAATCCAGACATCTGGAAAAGAACTTAGTGAAGAAAAAATGTACACTTTCAGGAATTAAGAAAGAAAAGACAGGAAAATAAACTACAGAGAAACTTAATCCAATGATGATAAAATAACAAAGCAGGCTGGAGCACCCCGTCTACACTAAAACAAGGTAAGCCCAGAGAGGGTCCACAGTTCCAGGGAGAAACAGAATGGACAGGGCCAGTAGCACTAGCCCCCGCCCCCAAAGCCCATGTCTGTTGTAGCCCATACTATTTTGAACTGCAAAAACAGCATCAGGTTTTGCTCAGCCTGGCAGGTTAAGATGGAGAAGAAATCCAGTGTAGTGCCGGCCATGTTTGAGTGTTTAAGAGGAGGCATTTGGGGAAGGGGTTAATTATTTAAGACTAAGCTACAGAACAAGTACACTTGCGAGATTCTGGGGTCACTGTACCACAGTGGGTGGGAGATGGTGGCCACAAGAGACGGCTGCAAAGAGGGAACAGGCTAGACACAAACCCACTGAGTTGAAGCTCAAGCAGGGAAGGGCGTAGGGGTCCTGCATCCTCTGATGAGAAGCCAGGCCAGTTTTGTGTGGTTTTCAGAGAGGGCTGCGTCTGAATGTGCTGGCATTAAGTCCTGCAGACTAACACACACACACACACACACACACACACACAGAGCTGACTCCAGCTGGGTCTGAATGTGCTGGTATTAAGTCCAGCAGACAAACACACACACATACACACATGCAGACAAACACACACACACACACACACACTCTCTCTCTCTCTCTCTCTCTCTCTCTCTCTGCTGACTCCATCCAACACAGAACTCAGTGACCTATTTGCTTTTTTCATCTGCCAACATGATCAAAGATACACCCTGGCTTGGATGATTGTCCCAGTTGGGTGTGTAGACAGAGGGCCCTCTGGAGTAGGGTGGAGGGAGACACTTCACAAACCCACAGGCTGTAAAGCTAGGTAGAAAAAGCAGTTACTCTGGGTGCACAAGAGATGCTTTAAGCTGGAAGCAGCTGGAGTTAATAGAGCCCTAGGATGGACACCACTTACCAGCCACACCCAGAAGGAAAAGGCAGGCTGGGACTCAGCATTTGCACACCAAAAGGTAAGTGAGGAAACAAAACAGGACTTAGTATTTGGGGGATAACTCATTATCCCTTGCTCATATTGGTGGATCCCAATACTGTAGACCTGGCAAAGAAACCACTCATTCAAAAACAAAAATGAATTTTTTGGATTCATTTTTCTTTTTCTTCATTGGTTTGATAGTTTTTCTTTTTTGTCTTTCTTTTGCTCTTTTTTCTTGTATGTTCTTTTCTGTTACTTTTATCTAATTCTAACAATTTTTAATCCTTAATAGGATGCTTTATTTCACACATCTTTTCATTTCAAATTGTACAGCTTTAATGTCCTCCTTCCCCACTCCTTCCATTTTACTAGCATTACTATTAATCTTTAGATTTTTAAAAATAATTATTCTTAACAAACCATTCTTTTTATTCCTTTTCTTTGTGTGTGCGTGTGTGTTGCTGGGGATTGAACCGAGGGCCTTATGCATGCAAGGCAAGAGCTCTACCACTGAGCCACATCCCCAGCCTTGTAATTTTTAGATATTAAGTTGACAGTGCTATAGTTTAATTCATTTCTGTTGTTAATGGTAGTACAGTTGTTACATTTACTAGATATGTACTATACATCATAAGTTTGTCTTTGTGTCTGTATTAATATTGCAGATCTCTTTTCTATTGTTAAGGGTAATTTCAGGAATTAAGCATTGGTTTTTCTGATATGTCAATATTTATTTTGTCTTTGACTTTATTGTTATTGCTGAGTAATTATTTTTGTCAGGGTGGCACAGTTGTTGCTATTAATGCCAATATCTGGTTTGTCTCTGTGTCATCAAAAATAGTGTGGCTCACTTTTGGAGAACTACGTGCTGGGCCAATTACTGCACACCCTCCTCCAAATTAAGAGAGGGGTCATATTTGGATTGAGGCAAAGGTCTATATTGAGTCCATCACTGAAAAGCAGATAATGACTCAAAAGATCTCCATACTACTGTGGGAAAATGTATACAGTAAGTCCCTGACTTATGACCATTCGAGTTACAAACTTTCAGATATAAATGGACCTAACATTCTGAACATTTATAGATGAGAACAAATCTTGGGAGCAGTTCACATGCATGTCAGACATCATCGTAGTTGTGCTGCTATATGCTTACTGTACAATGTGATACTGTACAGTAGAACAGTGCTCAATCAGAGCCTAGGATGTCCAGAAGCAAGAGGAAAAACAGTAGTAATGTGGAGGAGACTGCTAGGGGGCACAAATCAATAACCATGGAAACAAAAGTGAAAATACAGTGTAAGACTCATTTTGTTGGACTTATGAATGAATCTGACTTACCAACATTCTCCTGGAACAGAACGCGTTTATAAATCAGGGACTTAATAACTATATAATAAAATGATCAATGAGCTTATAGAAGACCCTAATAAAAAGCTAGCTGAGTTAAAATGATGTAGAACATGAAGGATCAGTTTAGCAAAAAAAATCCATGAAAAAATGAACAGGAATCTAGGAGATTAAAAAGTCTATTAAATATATGAGCAGCAGAAGTGACGAATGTCAGAACTATTGTACAGGACTGCTATAAGAGACCAATTTTCAGAGATACCTTAAAAATAACAGAATATGAAAAATGGACCTGATGGCTATTAAAGATGCAAAAAAGACTAATCTAAGATTAGATGGAATTAGTAAAAAACCAGAAGACAGAACCAATGGCATAAAAACCAATTCACAGAAGAATAGAAAACTTTCCAAGTATGGAGAAACAAATGAACATACAGTAACTGAGGTATATAGAAATCCAAATAACCAATATCAGAAAAAAACTTTTATGACACATCATAGTCAAAATCCCAAATTTGACACAAGAACAAAATCTTAAATGCTATTAGAGAAAAGCAATATATCACTTATAAAGGTAATCCTATTAAGATTATAGCAGACTTATCAACACAAACCTATGGCATGCCCAGCAGTCCCATATCAGATAACAGTTGTTTTTTTCTAAACTAAAACCTCAGTATTCAGGTTTAATTGCAGTGTTGGCACTTTGCAATAAATAAGTGGGTTTTGGGTTGCAGTTTGGGTACTCAGTCTCTAAAAGGTTTTCCATCAATGGCTTTGCGTGAAGTGTTTCAAGCACTAAAAGAAAATAATTTTTAACCCAGGCTGACATATTCTGCAAAACTATCTTTCAAAAATGATGGAGAATAACATCTTTTTATGATAAAGAGCACCTTAAGAAATACATGGCTTGTATTTCTTAAAACCAGCACCCCTGATTCTCAAAGATATGCTAGAATTACAGGGTAAAGCCAATGATGCCAAAAAGCCTAATTGGATGAATACATCAGGTAAGGTGAGCAGTTAAAAAGGAGGAGGGAGGCAAAGATGAGCAACAGGAAAATAATGTTATGTAGGAGTAAGGCTATAGCTTTCAGTGATAACTTTCAATATGAACGGTCACAACTCCTCAATCAAAAGACACAGATTGGCAGACAGATCAAGAAACATAACGTAACTGTATGGTATACATAAGAAATATATTAAATGTAAAGAAAGATTCATAGATTAAAAATGGAAAGATGAAAAACAATATTCTATTGATGAAACAGCAGCTATTTTTAGAGAGGGAACATCAAGCCAACACTGATCAAAAGAGGCAAAGAAGGCCATTACATATTAGGTAAGGGATCAGTTCAATAGGAACAAATAACAATTATAAACATATATACACTAAACACCAGCTCACTCAACTTCATAAAACAAACACTACTGGACATAAAAGATCAGATAAACATCAACAATATTATAGTGAGAAACCTCAATGACTCACTATCACAAATAATTCAACTAGACAAAAAAAAATTAACAAAGTAATACAAGAGTTGAACTACACCTCCAAAGGGACTTATCTACAGTGTTCCACCCT